ATAAACTTTAAAATGTATAGCTGTGAACTCTCACAAATGGGCCTTCTAGTTTGTTTGATCCTATTTAAAATTTCCTTAGGAGTGGTTAAGCTAAAGGTACTTCTCTACTTCACTTCCATTGAAAAGGAGGACTAAAGCTGAGTATCTGAAACCTCAGGAAGTCTGATTCTTGAGACTGCATGAAACTACTTACTCCAAAGTAGTATGCGTGCAATCTTTATCTTTGAAAGAGTGACCATGATACCTAAGTCACCTTAGGAATTCTGAAAAACTTTCAGCTGCAATTATTAGAAAAATTCTAGGTATGTCATCTTGTATTTTATGTCCTCAAACCATAATGCAACTTTTCTTGTCAGCTGACCAGTGGAGCAGTGTGGGTTCAGTTTAATGATGGATCCCAACTGGTAGCCCAAGCAGGTGTTTCTTCTATCACTTACACATCTCCAGATGGCCAGACAACTAGGTGAGTCTGTTACTGCTGTAAAAATAGTTCCGTTTACCTTATGTATCATAACAGCCTTGCACTGACAGTAGACTGCATAGCTGCTATTCATTTTCTGTTGTAAATACTAAAACTTAGCTTTTTCAATCACTTCTCAGTTGGTTAGCTTATATAAGCTTAATAAATAAATAGAAACACTTCTATCTTTGAACTCTGGATAACAAATGAATTAAAAAAAGCTGGGAATGCATCTACTTGGTCTCCAGAGTATAGCCACAATTCATGTATAGTATTTAAAAGAGGGAGGGGGAGAAAAGTAAGGTGTTAATACTTCCCCTCAGGATACTGCTAGATTAGGGGGATAGCATTGTCAACATTGATGCATAGACCTGAAGTGCTCAGGTGAAGTTCTGTGTATCTTTTGGACACCAGGCACTTCCCATACAAATCTAGCCACTTTGGTAACATGCTTCTTCTGTGCAAAGCTCAAGACAGCACTATACAGCTTGTTCAGATGTTATTGCAGCTTTAAACATTGGTTAGGTATTTTCTTAATGTGAAACCCTTTTTTCAGTTAAATACATAGAGGGAAGGGGGGCCTAGATTTAAGCCATTGAGCTCCAATGAATGTGTCTAGATATACTTAAAAATCTACTTGACTTAGTGGTTTGCCTATTTACAGGCAAGTTTTGAAATAATTATACTGTCCTGAAATAAAACTAATTATTTCAAACATCTAAATTTTTCTATGCTTATCTGCCTTTCCTAGGTATGGAGAAAATGATAAGTTGCCAGAATACATCAAAGAGAAGCTGCACTGTCTGTCTTCTATTCTTGTGATGTTCACCAATCCAGCTGGTCCCCACTGATTAAAGCAAAGCAGGTGTCCGGACACAGCAGCTTAATAAACTCACTAACTGACTTTCAAGTAAAGTGACTGATCTTACTCAGCTTATGCAGAAATTCTTCCAGAAGTTGGTTAAAAAAAAAAAAACAAAACAAACAAGGAAGGGAAGGGTTGCCCTGTTTATGTACAGCAAATTGCTTGTGAAGTATCACACAAAACACTGTTTTTCTCAAAATGATGGATAAACTTGCTCAAGCAGAACTTTGAGCAACTTGGTTCTAGCATCAACCTTTTGGAAATAATCTGTATCTGTTGTATTTTTTTTCTTCCCCCACTGCTTACTCAGTGCCAACAATCAAGGAAAATGCATCTGTGCTGTTAAAGTGTTTGTATTTGTAAATAACTTATATTTTTACATCATACAAGTAATATATGTAAATATGTATATGTTTTATAACTGTTTGTTTTTATTTTTTGTAGCAGCAGCTTTAACTTCCCTGCACAAGCATTTTATAAAAAAAAAAAAAATTAAATGCAGTGGTAATTGTCCAGCTCTGTTTGTTTCATGTTCAAGTGATGGTTTATTGAGAGCCCTTTCCTCTAAGTATTAAGCTCAATTTATAACTGGAGCTGATCTGATATCTTAGAGAATCATACATTGGCGTTTTAGGGCTGGGTGAAGCTTGGGGAGAAACAGTATAAAACTGTTGCACAAAGCTACTTCCAACTTGCGGAACTGAAAAATTGTGGGTTGTAGATTTGGTATTTTACCTCTGGCCTACAGCTGACTAAAACCAGGAACATATTTGATAGGAAAGTGAACTACACATACTGTAATAACCAATTCAGTTTGTTACTTTGTAGGAATTTCATTAACTTTAGATACTTTTACCTTGTCTGACACATTATGAATCACACTTATAACAAACTGAAGTAGTATTAACAATAGCTTCTTTTTTTTAAGCATTTTGCTTCAAGTGTGCTAACGCTCCTGATGGTGCTTATATTCATACTTAAATAAATACTCCAACTTCCTTACAAGCCTTTCTCCTACCTTAAGTTGAGTGGAAGAGTGGGATCCAAAAAGGTGGCAGTGGGGGGAGGATGGAGAGTTTGAGGAGCTGAAGGTAGCTTGCACATGTGGCCTAGGCACAATAAACTGAGCTGTTATTAGTTAACCTCAGGAAAGAGATGTTCCAATACAGCTTTTTCAAAGCTGTGGGCTCAGATTAGAGCTGAAATAGCCTTGAATTCAAGTCAGTTCTCCTTACTTATCTAGTCTAGTAGAGACAATCTTGATTATTTTGTCATGTCCAAATCAAGGAAATAGCTTGCAAATAAAGAATATGGTACTAAGAACATCAAGAAAGATATACAAGTAGCACTCAAAAACAAACAAAAAAAAGCCTTCAATGATTCTCCAAAAGGAATTTTTTTTTTAACTGCTCCTTCAGGTAAGAGGTGTACCTTCTCATCTTGGACCTTAATAATCAGATGGAATGACTGCACAGTAAAATAACTATTACAAGTCTTTGATTAACCAAGTAGTGTGCACATAAATAAGCCTTTCTTAGAAGAAACATTTTATTTTAATACTGTAATTTTAAATGAACTATTAAAGTAGCATAAGATGTGGGTCAGCATTGCATGTTAAAAACTTGCATTATCAGCTACACTGATTATCTTTACTTCAGATATAATCTAGTTTGATGTACAAGCTAAATGTACAAATAGTTGAAGAAAGCCTGAGAGATAGATACCAGAGGGCAGAAAGGCATAAATGCTTAGAAAGAACAATCAGCTAGTTTGTAAGCAACAGCGTGACTTTACAGTGCAGTTACATTACATTGCTAACCAGAATAAAAAGAAAAAACAGAAGCCCTACCTGTGAACATAATATGTTTTATAAGAATGAGAGGATGATAATCCATAACAAGTAAGCCATAGCTTAAAACACAGCTGACCTAGGAAAATAAAAACAACTTTCATGACCAAAGAATTTCAAGCCTTGCTTGCTTATTTTCATTGTTATGTAAACATATCAATGTGCATAGGCTACCCCTTTTTAGGGGGTAGTCTGTAGTCTACACGTATTCACTGCAGAAGAGGAGACTTGAATCTAGTTTCATCCTTAACACTTTAAATGTTACAGCTAAAATAATCCTCCAAGTACCCAAACATTTTCTCATTCTACGTTAGAAGTTAGCTAACCTGAAGAACAACAGTAACAGACACCCTACAACATACATACTTTCAGCACAAACTGAGTTTAGAACATGAAATCCTAACCCTGTCAGCCATTTTGAAGACTCTTGCATTTCTCATGGCTAAGGTAACACCAACTTTTCATGACTGAAGTAATTTTTGGTTGCTGTAACTTTAAGTAAGTAAGTGCTTCATTTTGCAGTCTTGTTTTTGCCACCAAAACAGTATTTCTGGTACTATTTATTATGAATTAGCATATAAAAGAAATGCCTACAAAAGCAAAGCCCTTTCTCGTAACATTTTGTGATTCTGCAGCAGGAAAGCCTGAGAGAGAATAAACTTCTGTATTCCCTTCAGTCAGTATTGAAAAAATAATCTTTTAATTCAGTAGTCTTTTAGTGTTTGAACAATTGATTACATAGGAATACTTCATTACATTTAACACATTCAATAAACATCAAATATTAGACACATTAAGCAGCAGCTACAACTGGAGTTATTCCAGATTTTTTTTTCCCCCCAGCAGCATTAAAACAGATAAAACAAACCCATAAAAATGATCTTAGGCCCCATTATGAAGGAAAATTATTATTTCATTTTTAAAAATAAACACTGAATGATTCAAACATTGTAAATTCCTGTTTCTCATACCACGTTATCAGAAAAAAGTAAGTCTACAAATAACAGTCAGCACCCGAGGAGCCAGTTTCCTTCTTTTTACTTAACACTGGTTGGTCAGCACAGTGCATTCATTCTCACAAATGACGACGACAGTGTAAACTATCATGCTTGGTATTTCCTTCTTGTGGTAAAGTTAAGAAAAGCTGTGCATAATTCAACTCTGTGCAGGTTATCTTGCTACAAAAAGGCATTCAGCAAAACAGCAGAAGAAAAATTGCACATATGGTTCACTGTAGTTCAAGTAACAGCCACCGAGACTGTGATTTTCAATGGCTCTTAATCAACTTAAATACCCAAATCCCACATAAACTGCTTGTGAAGTAGGCACCTACCTTCCACTACAAACCTGTCACATTTCATGTGAAATCCTGGAGAAGATGTACTGATACATAACAGTTTCCAAAGTGAGACATTTTGTACTAACCAGTGCTTACAAGCTAGCAAACTGAACATCAGAAGGTTCACTGACCTGGTATTGATGTTTCCATACAAAGTGCATGCAGCTCAACTAATCTTGTAGTTACAAAAGAGTTACTAATCCCGATTCACAGAATCAAGAGAAATATTTCTTTTACTTCTTTCTGGAAAAGATGCACATAACCTGTGACCTTCACAGCTGCATTCAGTACACAGGTGCATCATTTAAACTGTACACGCTTCAAATGTGCCGTTGTATTGATCTAATTTCTTCACGTCCCTTCCTCTGCTGCTAGAAAAGCAGAATACAGAAGCTCCGTTGCAGCAGGTGGAATCATGTGTTAGGATATGGCCAAGTTACATGTTCTGTCAATGTGTAAGTACAGGTCTACAGTTCTTAGCGTACAGCCAACAACGTCAGTGGTTAGGTACCCCTCATTAAAAAGTAGTGATAAACTAAAGTATTATTTCTGGTTGGTTTTACTTTTTTTTTTAAATACATGTTTAACAATTCTCTTCTTGCATCCTTCCGTATCTGACAGAAAATGCAATTAGTCTCTTGTATACTATCTCCAAGAGTAAGAGTGAGACTATAACTACTCCACAGATTAAGCTAAATGCCCAACGTGGTCCCAGGTGAGTGTATACTTGGCTCACAAAAACAGGCCCAAGTATTCGTGCTCCACTTCCAGAGGCAGTTAACCATCCCATGTAGACACCCTGCAAAAGACCAAAAGCTTATGTTAGTGATACAGGAATTATTTGGCTTGCCGATAATTCCCACCAATTATCCTAATTAGAAAATTTAGAAGTGTTTAAGCAATTGCTTATCTTTCTTAACTCTTTAGGATACCGAGTACTTTGTTTCCAAGAGTACTGCTCAGCTTCTCTAAGCATTAATTTGAAGGTTCCACTGAGCTACATACTCTATAGCTTTCTAACAAAAAGGCATTCTGGCTCAAAGCATTTAGTCTCTTACAGCGAAATGTAACGTGGAAAAAATGTGGTAAGTGGTGAAAACGGAAGAAAATTTTCTGTTAAGCAGTAGTATCAGCTTGCTACGTGTTTCACCACCTTAAAATGTCAATAACTGGAGGTACCACAGCATTTGTAGTTTTTATATAATACACTTAGTAAGAGGAACGTTATTCCATACTGATATTCCAAAGATATAATCGGTTGTTAACAAAATTACTCCTCCAGAACAGTCGTGGAAGTCACAAGCTTTGGGCTTAGTTGTTCTGAAATGTTCATGCTGTAAGATTTGCCGTCGACTGTAGGACAAGCCTTGCTTTCTAATTCCCCTAGGGACTTGCCTTGGATTTTAAAAAAGATTAGAGTTCCTGAAACTTCTGCCCCAGCTGAAATGTACTATTATTTGGCTAATGACAGAAGGAATTTTAGCTAGATCCCTCATTCTAATAAAGAAGGTGCAAGTCCTGGAGAGCAAATGAAATAAATGGTTTAGGCAGCATGCTTACCTGAGGCTTTGGTCCTAGAATTTTTGAGTATAAAGTGTAGGACATGACATTACAAACTGGATAGCCCAATCCTATTAGTATGTCGGAGGTGATATACTGGGCCAGATATATCATAGGAGTATTCAGGCACCAGGACTGTGTGACAGGGCAGCCTACGGGTTCCACTGTGTGGTTGGATGGAAGCTGCATTGCTTGCAAACTCCAGAAAGGCATTAACATTTCAGTGGAAGCTGTTCTGGGAATGGGAATGGAGTCGTTCTTTATTTCTGTAAAAATAAGTTATGCATGCCATTAAGAAAAGAATACAATAAAAAGCTTTCAAAAAAACATTATGATGATAGTTTAGCATGACTTGAATTATACCTTGCCACTGGATATTTGGTAGTTTCTTCCCCCAAGGCAGTAAGATAAAGAATCCAACCAAGACAATCAGTAAGCCTCCATGGAGTATGGCACGCTCACCAGTCCTATTGAACAAATAAATTACAATTAAATGTATCATTTCATTAAAGTAAAATTTATGAAGGTGCTAACGACATAGCCCAGTAGTTTGTAGAAAAGATGCCCGACCAAAACACCTGCAAGAAAAATCGCAAAATCACAGTAACTTAAAACCTCTTTTTCTTGTGATTCAAGGGTAAAAGACAGGCAAGGAAGCGGGTTATGTTAACATAATAAAAAACAACCACAGCATCATGGCTGTGTCAAAATTGGAACTACTTCATTGTCATAGTAAACTCAAATTCATTAACAAGTAAAAGATTTAAGTAACACAGATTTGGCCTTGCCATAAAGCTTTTCACACTTACCTAAGTAACAAAATTCCAATAAACTCCAAAAACTTACCTTTTAGATAGCGTTTTAACCACCATGAAAACAATAACTGATTCAATGCCAACCACACTAAGGATTATTCCATTATAAAAAACAGCTTCTTTCCTGGTCCAGGAATACATATCCATCGTCAATGGAGTAGCTATTCTAAATTGACAGAACAAAATTACATTAATTAAAAAACCAGTTCTTCTACACAGTCATTTCCGTACATATATCATCCCAAACATCAAACACCGTGGTATAGAAGCCTTTCCTCCTGACGGGCATATCAGAAAACACAGGCTAGTTATAAACTAATTCTGTCACACATCATTAAAACTAAATCTGGCAGACAAAATTCACAGCTGCATTACACCAACCATACTCTGAAGCATCATTAATCTATTTCCGATAGTTTGTGAAAAAGATGATGGAGTTAAAGCAAAGCAAGAGTAATAGAGAGAAGAACAAAAAAATCAGGCCCTGTGAGTATAAAAATAATAAACATTTAATACTGTTTCAGTTTTAGCAACCAACCAGTCTCTCGGAGCTCCATTTTCTAAAAACAATGCAATTAAGAGAGAGACATACTGTTAAAAGAAATTTTAGCTACATTAGAGCTCAAAAAACTTACAAAATAAATCTTGTACCCTCAAAATATTTTATAAATTAAAAAAAAAAAAAGTATACTTCAGTCTGAGGTAATGTTAAGTTTTACTTATTTTCTTACAAACAGAAAATTTGGGAGTGAATAACATACCTCTTTAGGTAAAAAAAACCAGTCATGTAAAATAGTGTATTTAAGAATATAATTACTGAAATAAGAGCTTCACTGGAGCTTTTGGAGCTAATCAGAATCATACTAAGAAATTACACAAAATTAAAAGTACAGAACAAGGTACTCAACTGAAGACACAGTTTTCTCTGAAGATTTTAGGTCGCCCAAGTTAAGCTACTTTTTTTTTTTAACACTTAAAAAGTTGAGGATATAGGTTTGCATTCATTCAAAAGCCTTTACATTAGTGTTTCATATACCACAAACTGTATGCTACATATTTTTAGTTATTACTGACCTTTAATTCATTACTCTATATCAGTATACATCAATTTGATGGCATATGGTTTTGGACTTCTATTTATGAAGAGTACAAAGAGTACAGTTAAAACGAGTGCAACAGAAAAGCCTTTACATGCACACCCAGTCTACCTACATTACATGTCTAAGTATTTTGAGAGAAAATAGAGAAACTTACGTTTCAAAGACAGCAAACACAAATAAGATGACAAAGAAAAGAAAATTGATTGCTACCACAGCAACATGGTCAACATTTCCTTCTGCATCCTGATCCAGAACACCACTTCCTGCAACAAACCAAAAGAAAAATCTAAACTGCAAACTGAGCTTTTTTTGCACCACCACAAATTACAAACAGTAATGGTTTCCTTACTCTGTTAAGTATTTAACATGCAGGTCAGTGGGTGGCTAGGCAGTTATATTTTGACAATCTAAGTATAACGTTTTTAATTCAAAATGGAATTGTTGAAACTTCAGTTCCTCTGACAATGAGGGAAAATGATTTCCAAATTGATTATACCATCTGTTTTCCCACTGTAATGCTGGGACTGACAAGTCCTGAGTGACAGCAAAATAAGCAAACTTATTTGAAGATCTGAACAATGGAAACCAAAACACTTTCTGTTCCTCTTTCAAGGCCAGAATTATGCAGTAGAATTCTCTGCACTACCATGGAGCCTTTCTTCCTCTAACCTGGGCATTGCGCTTTCATACACCAAACACCCACGTGGGGTGTGCACAGAGCTCCCTTTTTAAACACAAAACTAATACAACACTGAAACTGGTGACTTCCACAGATTTTAAGAGAGGTTTAAGATGACCTTTCATATACTTTTTATTCTTCAAGTGAAAGGGATACTCACGTTTTAAAAAATTTGAACTGCATACAAAAAGAGCATATATGGAACATAAGCTGTTGCACTGTATGTGGTGATTACTGTACTTTGATCTCACCAACCAAATTTACTTGTACGACATACACCTTTTAATAAGATGCCGAATGTGAAAGCTGACATGCAATAACAATATTACTCAGCAGGATACAGAACAAAAGAGAAGTAGGACTGCAGAGTAGAAGTTAAGAGAGGTTTGGGTTTGGTTTTTTTTATGTCCATATTCACTTAATCCTGTCTCTTGAAGGAGACAGTTCCAGGGTTAAAATCTGGAAGGATCTATACAATATTTTTTTTGTTTCTTCTTTGCTACCAGACAGCACTAGGGACACATATGGACACAACATGAACGTGAAGCAGTTTCTGGACCAGTTAGAAAGAGATGTAGCCTATTTTCCACCTTGAGCTCCCAATGCATCAGACTTTAGAATACTTCTAAATGCTTGTATGTAATAAGAGTGTACTTCAAAACTATAATCACAGAATAAGTTTTCAAGGAAACATAGGTACCTTCTCCTTCAAAATTGATACTTTTGCATTGCCGTCCCATGTCATCCACTCGATGCTCTCTAGAAATTTAGAACTGTTTTCATTAAATCACATATTTATTTGATCTCCTATTGAGTCAAGTTTCTATTAAAATAATTCTAAATAGGATAATCTTATATTCTAATTATTCCCAGCTCCTTTAAACATCATCTGTGTAGCCTACACTTGACTGCAGCGTACACCACCATAGTCAAGAAAGAAAATCTTCTAGCGGGAGAATATCACATATCTGTGTGCATCTCTCCCCTCGAGAGAGATGCATAAAAATCCCCCCTTGAGATTCTAAAAGGAAAGACATAGACTGTGAGAACCCCACAGACAAGCTAACCTTATTTCTCTTTAAAAAAAAAACATGGGCAGAAACCATCAATGTTAGAAATATATCAAGGCTAAGCTAATAATATAACAGCTCTAACTTTTTTCATCAGTTTACATTCTATCCATAACATCACTATGATTATTTTATGAGCATAATGAAAAAGATACACATTAAAGAAGGTAGAAACCCTGAAAAATAAGTAACAGCTTATAGTTTTAGCACTCCAGATTTCAGGCTTATTACTCCTCCTTCTGAGCAGCATATTATCTGTTACAAGCGACCCAGTAAAACAAGGTAGAATATTTCTCTCTTTTGACTTGATTACCTGAATATGGCGAAGATGAGAATAATATTAATAACTCCTAAGAGAGCTCCAAATAAAACTGGTGCCGTATACATATTCAGCTGAAGATGCACTAATTTCCACGTTATTCCTTCTTCTCCAATAAGTGTAAAACATGTCTGAAAAACTTAAAACACATAAATGGATTAAGAAAATCTTGAGAATTATTAAGAAAACATTAGAACACATATAGAATAAATATATAAAACTGGATAAGCAAAGCTGTTCTAATTGCTAAGTAAAATCTAAATATTATACCTGTCAAACCTTTTACATTTTGAGAATCCTATTCTAAACAAACTGATGGGATACCAGTGGGATCTCAACTAGCCAGAAAACTACTTGGTTACATACAAAGACACGTATAAGTAACAGCATGACACTTAAAGAACTGGAACTGAATTCTGAGTGTACCAACGGTTAATTTTCTTGGTCATATGCAGGCAGCTGATTACTTTTTCCTCTTCCTCCTACATGGAAAAACCCTGGTCGTGGGACTGGACTATCCTTCCTGCTAAGGGCAAGCTAGAGACAAAAGAAGTTGTGGGGTTTTTTAAAATCAAAATTTAAATTGGTGCAGAGCAAAAGATGGTAGGATCAGGTCATTTGCTTACTACTGTTAGGAAACAGACTGAGAGTCCCTATCAAATTAGGAAAGGGAATTACCTAAACTTATACTCCATGCAAATCACACAAAGAATGCAGATTTTTTGTGCTGTAGACCCTTTAATGCTCCATCAACAGCACTAGTAATAATCAACTGTGAGAACAAACTTTCAGCCCTAAACGTTCACCTCATTGTGTTACCATACACAGAGCACTTCAGCTCTACTGATCGGATAATCTTAATCTCCAGCTATAGAAGATAAGAAATCAGTTAGAGGCCATTTAGGACAAAATTGCTGGTCTCTCTTTACAACGCAAGGCAAGTCTAACGCATTTCTCCCATGAAGCAGCTAGAGTATCTCAGGAGCCAGTTACGCCTGATCTAACAAAAACCCCTTGAGCTCTTTGTCCCCTTTGCTCTCTGCAATACCTGGGCTATGTCTTAAAATTTTTGCCAATATGAGGATTTTGTGATCGTCACTACAAGATCAGAAAGGTCTGTTGGATGTTATTTTCTACAACATGTGAGGCAAAGTGAAATTTTCAGTCATTTTGGAAATGTTTGCCCGAGTACAGAAATGTTAAAGTCCATTCTCCATAAATAAAGTGCAATTGGTCGTAGGCTATTTAGTGGGTACTGGTACAAGAGAGCATCTTGGAACTTGTTTTTACTGCAGCCAGCAATCCAAAACAGCTAGTTTTCAACTACAATTAGAATTTCTTTGGACTAGAGCATTTCTATTCGCATACACAAGTATATATGAGTGGATCCCATTTAGTCAATTTTGATACCACCTGAGAAATTATGCCTTAAAATCCCCAACATACAGCTGCTGAGGATTCCTACTTCCATTGCCCCATTTCATCCTAAAAAGTATTAGAAAAGTGAAGAAACAAGATATGGTTTACCTGGTCCTAATATGAAGCCAACAGCTTGGCAGGCACTGGTGTTGGCCATGGCGCTTGTTCTTTCCGTGAGAGAAGTGGCACCCGCAATATACGATCGAACTACAGCCACGTTTCCTTAAAAAAAACCAAAACCAAGAACGTGTTTGTATAAATACGATTCTTAAATTATCCAATTACATTTATTTTAGGGTTTTTTTTATTATTATTTTGCAAGAAAATAAAACCCAGCACTCCCTCTAGTATTTATACACAACTGCACAATTACCCAATTTTATTATAAAATAGTATTGGCCGACTCTTTGCTTTGTGAAGTAAGAGGTTATCATTCACATAATGGTAAATCTGATACTAAAATATCATGTTAACTGTCTTACACAAGACATAGAATTTAGTAATTTTCAGAAATGTAAATTCTGCTGTGGTTACCTGCTCCAAATCCCACAAGGGCACGTGCAGTCAGCATGTAGTATTTGTTGTGTGAATGAGGTACATGGACGTAGGCATAAAGACAATTAGCAGCTACTGAAATAGCAGTTGAAACAACGAGAGGTTCTCTCCTTGGCCTGTAATTGGACCACAAGCCAAACAGGGGAGAGGCAGCCATTTGGCCAATGCTGTATGAAGCTATAATCCAGCCCAAGAAACTGGCGTCTGCTGTCGGATCAATCTGCAGGAACAAATTTATCAATTCCATGGGTAAAGTATTATAGTGGTTTAGAGTATCAACAAAACCATTTTAGAATCAGTACCTGAAATACCTGAGACTCTGCACTGTAATTCTGAGGGTATATGGCACTATGCAGTGTCAAACCTAAGCTATTGCTAAACAAGTCAGTGTGTCTGCATGGCATTGTGCGGTGTTTAATATAAATACACCACTCTGGGTCTGAGAAGCAGCTGTTTTCACACAATACTTTGGGGCAATAAACCTTGGCTAACTGTCTCCAGCAATGCACCAAACCAATAAAAACAGCTTTGCTTCTGAGACTGGAAATGGCTCACTTGCAGCAAACTCAAATAGTTTTCATACAGCACTGCTGACGTTACAGGCTATAGACTGAACTTAAGCAGTACGGTAGACAGTTTGCATGCCAGGAGCTAGGAATCACTTAAGCCATCTCTGCACATGCCTATATCCGTCCTGATTTACAAGGCTGATGATGCGTTTTCTTTTCTTCTCCAAGAATTCAGCACCAGGCTCAATTTTAATGATACCTCTAGGACCCTGCCCAGGATATGTTCTTCCAAATTTGCATTCAAAACTGCCTTCTACAATTCCAGGAGCAGTAAAATCCTAGCACAGATTTAAAGTTTTAGAGACCTTTTATGCCACTTCTAACAAGAACGCAACAAAGAGGGGAAAAAAAACCCAAATAAACTATAAACGCTATCCAGGAACACAGGCAATCCCCTGTTAAGAATATCAAGAAGGTCTACATGCAACAATCTGACATTTACAGAGCAACTTCTACCTTCAGCTTCCTTTTTTTTTTTTTTTTTCCAAAATGCAGACAAGCCTTGTGTATTATGTTTTAACACTACAAATGCATTCAGATAAAGAGATTCCTATTCGTTTACTGTCCAAGAAAACAGTGAAATTATATTGGAAACCCAAACATTCCTGGATTATGATGTACCTTTATCAATTCAGGAAATCAACTGACAGATTTTACATGAAATAATGAAAGCTGTCTAAGTGGAAGGCAAAATAAAAGTCTCTTATAACCACACACTTCCCTTTACTGTTTCTTTTCCTAAATAAAATGCCAAGTTTTGTATTACATACTTCCTGAGCAGGAGTTTTCTGGTCTTATTAATTAAAAAAAAACGTATTTACAAACCTTTTGGAGATATGGCCACACAGACATAATTACAATTGAGAAACCTGCAATGCAGTAAAAACATAACTGAAGTTACTTTATTTGCCATGTTTATCAGTAATTTGCTTTACTGAAAAGTTATTACAGGTTCATTCTTCTGCTCCTAAGTGTTTTATAGTCTAAAATTGTGCATCAGTCTGTCACCTATAAAACCTAAGTATTATGTGCTTTTTTGAAGGAGCAATAATTCCTCCTAACGGGAGGAACTATTTTTAAATGGTTATTTTATAGGTGCACACACACACAAACAAAAAAACCCGTATGAAAAGAATACTGATGCGCCAGGCAAACTGCGTGGGATTTTTCCTCGCAATGGAAAGACAACAAAGTCCCCAGAGTAAAAAGAATTTCTTGATATAGTGACATATTTGTATTCATTTATCAAAGAAATCTTAATTCATCAAATTAAAAAAAAAAATATCACTGAAGTATCCTGTGATTTTCAAGATCATTTCTAGGCCCACAGAAAGTCACCAGAAGTCAAAAATCAACAGAAGCCTTGTTTCCAGGGGCAGTTATTTAGGAATGAAACAGTGATTTGTTCTGCAGTGGAGATGCAAAATCCCACAGGAGAAACCAAGCTCTCATACTCATTTTGAAATAGATAACATACATTCCCACAAAATCTTACCTCGTAAGAACTCAGCATTATTTCTATTCTCATTCCCTAGAAGCTTCACTTCGGATGATAAAAGTGTGACCTTTGTTTTGTTTGGTTCTGAACAATAACCTTACTCTGCCACTACCTTTTACCCCGAACTATTACAAAGCCATAAAACAAAGATTTAAGTAATATGTTATTTAGTCTCAAAACAGAGTATTATTTCACTTATCTTATTAAATGCCACTTTCTGTTTGATTTGCTAGTCATATCTCCTCTCTGGAAGAATCAGAAAATGCACCTTTTTAAGGTTATAAAAGAACAGTAGCATCAAAGGAGCTATGTGTTTGAGAACTACAAAACCCTGTAATTTTCAAACCAAAATATATTCATTAAGTAAATAACACTGAAACTCACCTACACTGCTGAGAAACATAGTAAGATACATAATCCAGATGGATCGCCACCTGCTCTTATAATGGTCTTGTGTTTCCACAACATCCCTGTTTTTGAACCAAAAGTCAAGAGAGAAAGAAATCATTACCAGATTCTCTTCTAGTTGTTCCCACAGGACATTGAAAACATTTTTCACAAACCTCTCGATACAATTGTGTAAATTGTTATGCAGGAATGGATTGCCACACAGCAAAGAATACAAAGAATTTATTTTAGAAGCAAGCTAATTTTTCACTGAAAAATACTAGACTGACAAATCAAAAAACTAATAGAAACGCGATCACGTACCATTGCATTCAAATGTTACACAAAGAGATCTTTATCTAGAGACATCTTCAATTCTGCAATCTCTTTGTATAGACACTTTGGAGCATCACAGATACCACGTAAAGGCTTGAAGAAGTGCGTATTAAACCATAAAACCCCAGACACCTTCTCAGAACTGTGATTTTAAAGCAAAAAAACCCCAAATCTGAACACCTATTGATTAGACTAAAAGGTATAGCCAGTCTATTCTGACGAGAAAATAACTATACAATGTAAAAGATGAGTGAAGATTGGAAGGGCTGCAAGAAAAAAAAATTAAAATAGAAGATACAAACTTTGTGAGCGGTAAGTTATTTTTCTAAAATTCATAAGCGCCTTCTGAGACCCACGTACTTTTCAGGGTTCTTCACTTCTTTTGAAGTATTCTAAATAAAATAATCTTGTCCGAAAGATGCAGACCTAGGTTATATATGCCTGAACATAGCTTATAAGCATTGTTTATATAGGTCATACATAGACTTAGGCACACAATTTTAAAGCTAACATAGCTATTCCACAGCACGATTTGTACATTTGTTTCTTCAGAAATGTTTACACCATTTAAGTGTCTTGGTTCAACGAAACTTTAACCAGATAAACGATGTTTCCAGATGTACTTGGTAACCTTACTGCCCCTCACACATAGGAAAATGTCAGTCAAACTCCTGTATATGCTACGCATACGCTATGTTTGGTTACTTTCAAGATTTTAGTTAAACCAAGCGGTACGCTTCAAATGTGAGAACGCTTCAGCGAGGACGGCGGCAGCAGCCACCCCTACCCCTTCAGGATACTGCTGTTTTCCTGACAGAAGGAAAAAAAAAACAAGTGATCAGCTGCTGCCCACACCAGGAGAGTGCTATTAAAGACCTAGACTTCAGCACCACAATAACCGATTTTTATGCTTTTTAGAAGTTTCCCAAGGGAGCGTGTTTGGTTTTTCCCCAGAGAGAAGCGGCGGTTTTTCCCCAGAGAGAAGCGGCCCCCGCCCCCGA